AATAATATTAAAAATATCTGTATGGCATTATATTCTGCAGTTCTTCCCTGTTGTACCGAATATCTATACTTTTCAAATTATCATATCGAAGTTAGAAATTCAAATATTGTGACAAAATTTATTTTGTAGGGTGCCACAAGTTTGTTAAAATTTCCAAAGGGTGCCGCGACTAAAAAAAGGTTGGGAAACACTGGTCTAGAGCACATTTCAGATGACTCAGAATTTAGGAGAAGATCATGACAGAACATCATGACTCAAAACGGCCAAAGAATCAATTTCAACTTCATGTCTGAGATGGACTAATGCAAATTTAGTTGGATCTTTGTGTGTGTGTGTGTGTGTGTGTGTGTGTGTGTTTGAGTGTGTTTGTGTGATTGTTTAAAATGCACACCAATCACTACCATATTGAAACTTCATTGGTCCAACTCCACTTACTTGTATATTTCACAGAAAATGTTCTGTTTTTTGACTGCAGTGTGAACTGACAAAAGACTTGCCTGTTTAGGATACACTGTAAAAAGACATTTCTCATCAGGTAGTATGACTAGATATGGATTCCTGGTTTTGGAATTGCCTTGGGAAACGATTCCTCACTGTTTTTTGGATGAAACATGAATATATGAGTGTTTGTGTGTACCTGAGCATGTGGTGTTAGATTCATCTTCATTATTGCCGCAGTCGTTGTCTCCATCACAAAGCCAGCGCATGGGGATACAGCGGTTATTTTGACACTTGAAGCGGTCAGCAGGGCACGTGTGCTGATCTGCAGATGGACAAACAACAACCACTGCATGTGTGTGGTAGCTCAAAACAAGGAGGGAGTTTTAAGTTAAACGCATGACGTGAGTGTGTTCTTACGGCACAGTTCAGCGGTCTCGTCGCTGTTGTCCAGACAGTCATTATCTCCGTCGCATTTCCAGCGGTCTTGAATACAGCGGTTATTCTTACAGGCAAACTCTCCCGGCTGACACTGCGGAGGGGGAATGTAAGACGGGTTTGCTGTAGAGAAACACACACACACACACACACACACACACGAAATGTAAATAAGTTTACTGAAGGCCAACCTCTGTGCAAAGAAACATCTGAAGAGTTTCTGTTTCCAATATTCAGACACAAAAACCAAACCGCTTGATGTTCAATTCAGCTGATTGTATCAACAGTCAGTCACAAGATAAGCCCTAGAAATGATGCATTATCTACCAGTATGACCGAGCAGCTGGCACAAACAGATCTGCTTCTGCTCAGCAAGCGTTTCTTGCTTTGTTCTCTGTCAGGACTGAATGAACGCTTATCCTGCTGGATTCCTCACATCTCTCACCTGGTTCCCTCTGAATGGAGGGTTTTACCGTATGATTTCCTCAGCAGTAGTCCATTCTCTCGTGGACAGATCTTTGAATTTTTAAGCATTCAGGGTATGAAGTTACATCCAAACCACCATAGTTAATCACCTTTGATCTCCAAATTAGAAGTGTCGCAATATACAGGTTTTAACAATAACTGTGTTTGTTAAAAAATGAAACATTGATATCATGGTAATACTACACAAATAATGCTATGGTAATTAATCTATCACCACTGGTTATCTGGTTGACACTCCAACATATTAGGCAGCAGTATTGGACCACTGATTGCTACCTGTCATTATACAGAGAAGAATAAGTAGAAGAAAAAGACACATTCATCTGGATAAATTTAAAAATGCATTTATGTTTTGGCTTTCTGCCCAGACTGAGACGGTCGTCTGGGTGATAAATCTCAGTTTTTGTGTTGTAGCATGAAAATGGATGTAAAATTATGACACGTTTAGTCACAAAAACAACTCAGAGAGTGACCCAAGTCCATCATTGTGAATGCTATCCACTTTCATAATGTCGCCAAAAATGTACAACCATAAAATTGACTTGCAGTTGCTGTGCTGCGGCAAAACATGAGGGCAACGGTGTTGTAGACCATATATTAAATGGCCATTTTGCGTGCAACCTGGATGCACCAGTGAGTAGTGGGATATTTTGGTAGTATGCATTACCTTTACAGCTGGTGTTGTCTGTGGGGTCCAGTAATTGGTCCTCAGCGCAGGCACATGACCTGCCAATGGGAGTGGCCAAACACAGACTACTACAGCCGCCGTTATTGGCTCTACACGCATTGCTTCCTGTGATGAACACATGTAGGGATAACATCTGATGAACATTTAACATCCAAACTGCCTGGATTCCTACTAGGAAATTTGGTCTTGCATTGCCAATCTACAAAAAACAGGGCAAAAACAACATTATAATTACCCAGCTGCTGTTGGGCATCGTACATGCGGATCTCAAAGATGGGTGGCCGTTCGTTGCGTAGCAAAGTGACCGTTTTGGTGTTCTGGTCCAGTTTATAGATGCTGCCGCTGCGGTACTCGTTCCAGAAGAGGAAGTGTTTGTAGTGGCACAGGCCAAAGGCGTGGTTTAGTTCCTGTCCATCATAAACCGTCTAAGAGGAAAAAATATGACATTACATGATCAACAGTTGGCAAGTTAATGGACTGATCTAGTGTTTTCAGCTGTTATTTCATGTTTTCCAATCTTAAACTGAAAACACGTGTTCTCATATAAACATCATCTATTAGATCAGCAGTGTGAGAGCACCTTGCGTGCAGTGGTGTTGAGATAGACCATCTCGATTCGGTCGTAATAAGCATCCACCCAGTATAGGATGCCCTGAGGAATGTCCAGACTCAGGCCGTTGGGCCACAGAACCGTCTTAGACGTCAACAGAACGTTCCGGTTGGTTCCGTCCATCCAGGCCTTCTCAATCTTCCCTCGCTTGCTCTCTTTTGGGTCCTCTTCCCAGTCAGTCCAGTACATCCAGCTGAAAGAGGGAAAAAAAATTCAAAATGCATAGTTCTGACTGATGATCCTTGTTTATAAATTGAATTGTCTATTTAGCATTAGTGTCTTTTATCATATTGCTGTTGCTGCTTTTTTTTTTTTTTTAAGCAGTAAGCCTCTTTTGGTTATACGTATTGAAATTTTAGATTTTGGGCAATTAAATTTTATGATTTTACAAATAACCCAACAACTGCTGTACAACTTAACCTTATTTCACGAGTTTGCACTAACATATAATCAGATTGAGCGAACAGTATGTATATTTGGTGTGCTGTCCGGGGGGAGGGCTCCGAGCTCAGAATTTAGCCCGAACCCAGAGACTCCCCCATATCCCCAAGCTGGGATAGGAATAGTTAGGAGTGAGAAGCTGGGGTGCAGGAGGGATGCCGGAAAACTGTTGTGGGACAGCGGTAAGTTGGCTGTGTATATATTTATCATTGTGTTAAGTTGATTATCTGAATATGCTCCACCTGTGTTGAATTGGATGATTATCTGAACATGCTCCTCCCGAACTTTGTAAATAAAACATTATTTTATTCGAGATCAGGATCTCACCCGTGCCGAGGGTCCACGACAATAGCTCGAGGGTGGGTCATCTTGCCCTCAATGAGAGTCTTCCTGGTCTGAGAAGCTTTCTCGAGCCGAGCAACACTGATGGTCTTCTTGGGACCATCATCTGTCCAGTAAAGATTATTGGCCATCCAGTCAACAGCGATTCCTTCGACAGTGTGAATACCTGGAAAGCCATACAGAATAAGACAATATACCCATAACAACACTAATAAAACCAGTAATGAGATGAATTGGAAATAAAAAATAACATTTCAGCACCTTCTTTAAGGATGATGTCTCTTTCCGTGCCATCAATCTTCTGTCGGCCAATCAGATAACTGGTGGCATCGGCGAAGTAGATGAAGTTACTCTGTGCATGGAAGTCCAGAGCTCGAGGGTTCATCAGGTTCTCGATGGGGATCATATATTCATCCTGAACTTTAGGGTTGATGTCCATACCACGGATAACACCTGGACGACCCTTCCCGTACACCAGGAATAACTCATGCTCAGGCTCTGGGGATTTGATATATACCAAGAATTGTGTTGAAAAAATGTATGTTTCACTCAATGCATGTTTCTGCTAAAATATGATCAGTGTTGGGGAGTAACTAGTTACATGTAATGGCGTTACGTCATTTAATTACAAAATAAATGTAACTGTAATCAGTTACAGTTACTAAGAAAAAATGTGTAATTAAATTACAGTTACTTATGAAAATGTTAACGATTACAAAGGGGATTACATTTGAATATTTACACACATCCACATACAGATTTAATTGATTTCTTTCCCAAATTACACGGACTGCTCTAATATATCAGACACCAATGTTTCAGGAGTTTATAGGACACATGTTTATTCGATAACTGTTTTATAACTTGCATTGTTAGATGCCAGTGTTTGTAAGGTTAACCCTGCATGGTGTAGGTGTTTGAACATGATTAACAGTTGCAAATAAACATTCATTAGAAAAGTAATCAAAAAGTAATCAAAAGTAATCAGTTACATTACTTTAATAAAGTAATTGAAAAAGTTACACTACTATTACATTTTAAATAGGGTAACTTGTAATCTGTAACCTATTACATTTCCAAAGTAACCTTCCCAACACTGAATATGATACAGAATTACTCAAATGTGTTAGTTTAGGTTCATACGTGTCAGTCGCAAAAAAAAGGTGGTTTAAAATATTTGATTTATTTTGAAAGATGTGCTGGGCTGTAGAAATGTCCTCTTTGTATTCATGTTGGTAAAATGTGGTTTTGTATGGCTTTAGGCCATTTTCCAGAAAATCTGAAATTTATTGGAAACATGTATATAGTGAACAGTGAGTCTATGATGATGGTATTAATGTTCCTCACAATCAATTCCAATTGCCTCTTCTATTTTTCAAGGTCATGTGCTCAGAGGTCACTGAAAAGTCAAATCAATATTACCAATGGTTCATTGAATATTCAAAGCAAACAACTTGAAATCAATATTGGGGTTCAATGGAAAATACCTTAATTTTTGTAAATTGATTGAGCTAAAGTGTGGGTCAAACCCCCAGTCTTGACTCACTGAGGAACTATAAGGGGCAAAAATGTGCAAGAGCCTACAATTACTAATGCTTAATAAGGCTGAGCCTATCATGAATTAGAATAATCCAGTTTTATAATGTACAAAATATGTGGCCCAATTAGAAAACGGATATTCGCAATTCTGTATGCACTGAGCCATACCTTTTCACAATAAAACATGACATCTCATTCCTTATTGCTTAATTAAAACCTTTGAAACACATGATCCTCATATATTTAAGCAAATCCAATCAGAGTGCTAATATCAATAACAGAATGCTGTTGTCCCCAAATATATGCAGGCTGAGTAAAGATAATCACAATCAATAAGCTTGGAAAAAACATGACGTGTCACAGTGTCAAGAGTTCAAATAATATAACAATAAGTTAATACTCAGTAACTTGAATAACTAATATTTTAGACACAATATTGCCACATACTACCAAATCGTTCCAAACAAAGTCACAACAGAATCATTGTGTTTCTTCCAGCAACAAATGAAAGATGTAGCATTTTTAAACAAATTGGTTGAGTGAATAATTCACTCACTCATAAGGGCCCTATTCCTAATGATACACTTCATGTGCAGTTGTAGTCTTGCGGACTTACAATGGCCGCGGTGTACACATGTCTGTGAAGATCGTAGGGTGTCTCAAATGTCATTTTAGGTTTCAGAAAACTGCTCACAAATACCCCGGTTTGCTGAGCCCAAACTTTTTACTGAGGCGAGCTCGGCAGCAGACTTAGGGGCAGATTTACTAACAGTTTGCACCAGCGTAAACCCTCTTTTACTGTTAAAACTACTGTCAGGATTTACTATAGACAGACAGTGAAGCATTACCAATGAGAAGGTGTGGACAGTTATATTTGTTTTACCCGACCTTACTGCATATGCATTTGTAGGAGTTTCCCTTTCAGGCGCAAAATTTATGGGAGGAGAGTATTTAAATGAATCATGCAAGGTGATTTGATAAGGTTTGCGGTAGTCAGTTTACTGATATCTGTGCCATTATTTAACACCCAAAAAACATATCTTAACCCATTTTGTGCCTGTGTTGGTAGTAGATTACCTGATTATCATCGGCTCTGCTTATCTGCGACTACACTAATTTGCACTGCTCTTTGTAGATTTGCGCTCTCATGCTAATTTGCTCTGGTTAGTTAATCTGGCCCTTATGCTCAACAGTCAAAGTGGACTCTGAGGAAGACCACTAATACACAGACTGACAGTCTGGAACACACTTCATGTCCAATCAGATTTGAGAACCAAAATTACAATTATGTATAATTTTAATGTAACAACATTAAAATAGCATGAAGAATACCATGGTTTCACCATTGCACATGTCCAAAAAACATGGTAATACCATAGTAAACCATGGTAATACTTTTCGTAAGTAAACCCTGAGTTAAATAATAAAAAAGCTACAATAATGCCATAGTCACCTATCTACAGCAAAAAGTAAAAAAACTTTGAATCATAATGAATAAACATTGAACTCTGCAGTTTAACTCTCGTTTGAGTAAACTTCTAAATCAGGCAAAACTTGTTTGGTGAATCAACAGATAGAGTAGAATCTACTGTAATGTCACTCACTCTTGCATGATTTGCCATCGTTGCCCAGGCTAAAGCCAGACCGACAGCGACACGTCCGGCTCTTGTGGCTGTTGCCCAACAGACAGATGTCTGAACAACCTCCGGCTTTCCAAAACTGATCCGGCTCACAGGCATGACTCCGCACTGAAGAAGAATAACAGGAGAGTTAGACTGAGCTGGAGCTGTGTGGAACTAGACTGCAGTGTAGTGGTTGCATTTTAAACAGTTTATTCAAGTATACTACTGTATACTGGCTTGATATATGTATTCAACAGCATTAGATAGCCATTATGAAAATTGGCCATGGTTTTGCTACAAATAAAACCAAAAAAACATGGTTACTATAGTTAAACCAAGGTAACCACAAATTAACCATGATTTTGCTACAGAAACCATAGTTTAACCATGGTATTTATAGTAAAACTGTGATTATACAAATGGTAATCAATAAGCCAAAAAAACATGGTTACTACAGTAAAACCATGGTTAATGTTCGTAAGGGAAGAATTTCAGATTAATACCAGGGGGTTGGCGTCTCTGGTGGTAAACATGTAGAGCTCCTCCCTTGTCGACACGGGTGACCACCTGATAATCTGAACTGTTGAATCGATTGACGCGGATCACGCTGGTCTTAGGCTGCATGTTGGCATTGTCTGAGTTTGTGGCATATAGATAGTTCTCAAACACTGTAAGACCATAAAGATGCTCGATCTGAGAAAAAAATAAAAAAATAAATATTCAATTAGTTCTATTATTTGAGAAGTTGTGTTTGCTCTGCTGGCTTGAGTGAGCAAGACACGCACATAAACACACCAATTAGCCTTGGGCTGAGCAGCTAAATGATAGTCATAACTCAAGCAGAGAGGAAGGACCAGGCAAATGCATTGACAGAAACAGCTTTAATAAAATGAGTCAGTAGCAAAAATGAAACACCACTGTCCCTTTCATCTACTAAAGCATTTTTCAGAGTATATATAGCTAGCCACATGAGCTATGATGGATTGATGAATTGATGGACGGCTGGATGGACAGATTACTGAAGAGATGGATTTTAAGGTGGATGAATGGATGGACTTTTTAACTGATGGACAATAGGATGGATGAATGGATGATGGACAAATTTCTGGATGAATAAATGGATGGATGAATGTACAGATGTACAGATGAATTAAAAGGTGGATGTTTGGATGGATGTACATTTGGACACATCGATGAAGAGATTGACATTTGGACTGAAGGGCATTAGGATGAATGGGTGGACAGATGCTTGGATGGATGAGTGGTGGATGTTTGGATAGACTGCATTGCATTTTTCTCTACTGTTCAGCATCTGTTGTTTTTAAATGTGCTTTATAAATAAACCTTAAATAGATGGGTAGATTAAGAGGTGATTGGTGAATAAATAGAATAGATTGATCATTGACAGAGAGATAAATATTTTGGATAAATGTATGGGATCTTTATCTGTTGATTTAAAGACCTTTTGAGAAGAATAAAATCATGTTCATGCTATCTACAAAATAATGTTGTTTGTAGAGCAGTAATAGAGGGAAGTTGATCATTGTTAAATGTCATATTTAGCAACTCACTGACATTTAAATGATTCAAAACAATGGAGAAATTAGTTCTTGGGCAACACACATTCTTGCGGAACAATGTGTAAGACTTTGTAACTGTAAAGGTCACTATTTTAAGGACATGTGCAGGACATTTATGGACATCTTAAAATGATCTTGGTATTTGCTCCTTACCAACAGGCCTTGAATGATGGTGTGTCTGTTTTTGCCCTCATAGTCCACTACTTCGATGTAGTCCAGATAAGCATCGGCCCAGTAGACCAATCTGTTGACCAAGTCCAGGGTGATGCCATGTGGAAAGACAATTTTACTGTCCACCAACTTTGTTCGGTTCTGTCCATCCATGTCACAGCGTTCCACCTTTGGGATCTGCCCATAGTCGGTGAAGAAAACCTTTCTGTTGAAGGTAATGTTAAGAAAGGTACAAGTAACTGTTATCCCCGAGTAAGCTTTAAGTATATCTCATTTGACCATCTAGCGAAGACTGTTTTTGAAGGCAACTGCTAAATATTCAGCTAGCTAGTTGTGTACATGGAGGAAGTGTGAGCTTGAGCATGTTCATACCCCATAGTTGGGTCCAGAGCGATGCCTTTGGGGTTGTAGAGTTCTTGATCCAGCAGTGTCACACATGTGGTTCCATCTTTATCGCATACAAAGATTCGATCATCCACATCATCAACAAAGTAGAAGTTTCCTGTGAGCCAGTCTATCGCCATCTGCTCTACATCTGTAAAGAACGGGGAATGGAGGGAAATGGAGGTGAAACATAGAAATTATGTGTTTTGTGTGTTCATGTGTCCTATTCCAGATTGCTTATTGTGGGCAAAATATCTGACTGAGTCCATAGACAAGAATCAAACTATGGTCTTGGTCTTCGAGTCTTGACTCCAAGACCATATTTTCTTGGTCTTGTCATGGCATTGAGAGCATGTGAATCCGGTCTTACCTCGGACTCAACCCTCAACTAAATCTTGCACAATAAGATGAGATTTATTAAGAAAGTAAATCAAAAGTATGCTATATGTGAAGATAAAAACATTGGTGCCTGACTGGTTCAGAGTAAGGCAAGTGTTCACGTACAAACCCAAGCAGTTTTGTGGTCTGATGACTCTGCCTGTTTTAAAATAGTGCTAATAATAATACTGTGGTCTCACATACACATTTCTCTTTTTCACTTCTACAATAACGCTCTTTCTATTTGAAATAGCTGAGTCAGGGGACTCTCTCTGGAGGCATGTGCCTATGTTACACAATTTACAAAATAGTTGTTTTAACAGCTGTGATCACTGTGGCTAACCATGGATTCTTGCTCTTCTTCAGCTTCCAAACCTCTTCAAAACACCTCATTCTTACCTTAAAATGTCAAACGTCTCAATGTATCTGAACCTCTCCTCCTTTAACCCCAGACATATAACTTTTATAACTTTAAATGGGATGTGAACATTGAACACTGAGTGTAAAAACGTGGCACTGGAAGACATAGAAACAGTGACTATCGGGTAAAATGGTGCAGGAAAATCCAGACAGATGGAGTGATGGAAGGCTAAGGGGTGGAGACAGAGACAGTTTTGGTCTCTCTTGTTTCTACAAAGGAAAGTTGGCCATTGTGCAAGGGCCAGACGTTTACAGGAATCAAGGGCTGTATCCCCAAAGGTGTTGTTTATTTAAGAGCCGAGTCCTGCTTAAACTTTTCCAGCTGCCCGGACTGAAAGCCAGTGATTAAAAACACAGATCAAAAACACCAAAAGAAGGAGAAAAGAGCAAGTGTACAAATGAAGGTTGAGGAAGACAAATGGCTCTTAGAGCAGCTGCTGTCTGAACAAAGCAAGAATAGAGGAACACCACAGAGACAAACCACAGAAACAGTGGGCTGAGGAACCTGGCTTTGCTCTCATTGTAATTCCTAGTAAGATTGTAGGTTTCGGTGGAAGGCAGGTAAGAAATTCAATTTATGACACAATCTTACCTCTACACTGAAGGAAAACTCTTATTTCTTGAGACAGCTTCATGTGAAAATACTTTGAGCCTAACTAACTAGGGTCTGTATTTACATCTTGAACTAATAGTGGAGTTTGTTTAAAGCTGCAATCTCCTGACAGTCATGACATTTCAAAAATGAGCTTTGGAGTTCAAAACTATGGCCAACTGACAATATGACAAGTGATCTGGCATCCCTGACCAGCCAGGTTTACAGCTATGAAGTAAGTAATATTTCTGTCCACACTGAAAGTGAAAGTGTTGTGTGACAATCACAGCCAATCAGAACATATTTGATGTTTGGAATGGGATTTTGGACTGAGGACTGGACTGCCCAGCATGACACCACAGGAATAAAATCCAAACGACATGTCCTGTCACTCATCAGGGTCACACCTAGTAGTAGGAGTAGGATAAAAGCCTCTTTTAAGAATTGTTGTTTATTGCGTTACACCTGGTTAAGATCCAGTGTTAGGGCTGATTCCCACCGGACATGTTTTTGTGTTCCACTGCACTGCTGTTTAATTGCTTTTCTATGTAAATGTGCTAGACCAGTGGTTCTCAACCTTTTTGACACCTTTGTCCAATATGCCAAAATTATGACTTGGATAAGAGGCCACTGAGTTAGACGGACATCTTTGACACATGTGCCATGAAAGTCAGATTCTATTGTATTCTATCTTGTGTAGGCCAGCTGCTAAGAAACCTCATTACCCTGATCTCAAGAGGTCTTCAGCGTCCTTGTTAGCGTGCCCACCTACCTTGCCGGCAACCTGGTTGCGAGTCCCACTTGGAGTTGGGCGGTTAGGACCTGAGGGTTACATTGGTGCCGTGACCCGGATGGGAGTGAGGCTTAGGGGGGTGAGTGTAATGGAGGCCAGCTGGTAAGAGCTGTGCAGGTAAACTTCACTCCCCTGATCTCAAGAGGTGCACTAGCGACTGACACTTTAGAGGCTGTGGTCTTTAGCTTCCTTGTTAGCGCCAATCTCCCATGCCGCTGACCTGGGTTAGAGTCCCGCTCCGTGCGGGGTGGTTAGGAACGGAGGGGTTACACTTGCACTTTTATAGATGCACTTTTTTGATTCCACCCTCTGGCCCTTTCTCTACTCGTCTCTATCCAAGCTGTGTATAGGCTTGTATGTGTTGGCTTGAGATCCTGTCCCAATCCTGTTCCCCTCTCATTCCTGTCTCTTCTCAAACTGTCTTTACAAGAAAACTGGCAAAAATGCCCATAAATATATATATATATATATATAAACTTGATGGCTTTTTAGCATTGTAGCAGGCTGGCAATAACTTAGGAGAAGAAACAGCAAAAATGGGAAGCATTGTTAGCTTTTTTTTTTTTTTTTATGTTATGTCTCTATGGTTGTACAACCAAATTTTAACATACGTGATCTTGATTTTGTCTGGTACAAAACGCTCACTGAAGACTATTTGTGTGAAGACAAGAAGCAATTAAATGCATTAGACCATAATTAGCATAAATAAAAGCATTAATAGCACTTCACCTCTGCGAGTTAGGCTGGATTGCTTCCAATTGTAATACAAGGACTGGGGTCAAACTGCACATCAGCATAAGAAAATAAAGTCTGATGTCAAGCTCAGTCTGCTCTAAAAGCCTTATTCAGTGAAAACTGTAAAACAAAAGTTGATGGGAGATTTGAAACACTATAAAGACTAAAGATGAATACCCAGAGCTCAGAGATTTGGGACAAAAAAGGGTGCAAGACTCACTGGCTCTGTTCAAAAAGTTTACATTAATACTAGAGAGATAAAAACCAGTAAAGCAAGTGGCGAGTCAATAAATAAACATAGACCTGACAAGCTGTCAAAACAGAGCACAGATAGCTAGAGAAAAAGAGTGAGTATTCGATAAAGAGAGATTAATACCAAAACAATGCCCTGAATGTTAGCGGAGGCAGAATCGTGTGGCGGAAGCACTGGAGCATGAGCCGATTTAAGCACATGACTGTTTAAGAGGCTTTCCAGAAACTTCTTTACCAAGCAGACTTTATGTCAGAGAGCAGCTCCCTTCTGCTTTATCCCACATTACTTCATCACACGTCCTGTCTTTCCGTTATTTATGCTGAGACACACCAAATTTACATGCAAGAAATGACTTTACTGCAATGCCGCAACTCAATAACACTCATGATTTCTGACAAAAACACTTGTACATGACATTTTGGTCCATCGTTACTTCATCATTTTCCAAGATGCTAAGAGACACATGCATTTCTGCAGAAAGAGATGGTGTAAATATCACATCTCCACCTGTACATGGCAGTTTTCATGATAAAACTCCAGAGCCGCAGACAGATGGGGGGTTGGGTTGCCTCGTGTCAACCATAATGTCTGGAAAATGTTCCACAAAACAGAATATAAATATGCTGCAGCAAACCCCAGCAACCTACACAAACCACTCATAAAACACACACATAAACACAGACACATATGGACATACGGATAATGGCTTCCGGAAGAGTGAGCACATGTGTGTGAGAGTGATTCAACTCCTTTGAGTGGAACAACCAGTCACTTTCCACAGATACAGTACACTTTGTTGTTCTTTTAAAGTACAAACTACAAACTGGAGATTTTGGCCTGACCCTCAAGGTATTGACCTCCTCGACTGTATTCAATGTAATCATTTCTGACATGATCTCTATAATAATAATATGAATCACAATAACCATAATAATCGTAAAATACATACCATTTTAAATAAATTATTTGGAACATTTTGTACAAGATTGTTGTCTGATGTTTTTCTTCGTTATAATAATTAAAAAATAATAATAATTCATTAAAATCGTGATAGCCGGGAAATGTAAAAAAAAAAATTACTGTAAATTTAACAGGATTTTTTTATAGTATGCACAAAGTAAATGTAATTCCAGTTTCTCATTTTTTACAAATATTGTAGTTTTGACTGTATTTCTTCAGCTTTTTAATGTTTATTTTGAGAGCTAGGGTAAATCTGCAACAAGTGCTTCAGGACTTATTTTATAACCTTTGTACCATTCAAAAATATGCTAAATATGCTTGTACATATGCAAAGTGTCACACTGATATCAAATACAGTTAAAAATAAAATATTTTGAATTTAGATTTTACCCATGAAACTATAGTTTTCGATGGATGTTTTTGGCTACTGCATTACATCTTATAATTTTTCTCGTACCATGTGTGATTTTTAGTTTTTTTTAGTTTTGTTTCACTTTTAAAAAACGTATATTTCCATCAGTTTTATAACAGTATGTCATAGTTTGTTGAAACAAATAGAGAATACAGCACTATCCTGCAATGTGTTAAAAAGAAAAGAAAAGAGAAGACGATGAGTGGAAAACATCTGGTCGTCTCATCTGCGTGTCACGTTGAGGTCATGAATCATGGCAAACACATTTCCTGTGTGACCCTTTCAGAGACCGCCACGACAAACCTGCCAGCTAAAAGAGATCTGAACCCGGGTTCCCGACAGTATTTCTACAGAAATACTGTAGAAGGTTTACTGTACTGTCAGGTTTATGAGCTCTCTGCAAAGTAATGACATTTGAAAAAGTATTTGGAAAATGTGAGATCGTCTCAGGTTACGCATGTAACCATGGTTCCCTGAGAATAGGGAACGAGACGCTGCGTCCTCTAGAGGGCGCTAGAGGAACGTCTTCAACGTGACCGGTGTCTGAAGCATGAATGAAAAAATGACAATGAACTTGACATTGGCAGGCGGCAGCCTATGACGTAAAC